TAATTTAAAAAAGGGTCAGACAGAAAAAGTCTCACACAGTTGGGCAGACTGTAATAGTGAGTGAGGAGATGTTTGTGGTGCCAAGGGAAATTACAGCTCAAGAGGAAAAGACAAAAGCTGACAAGAAAACCAGAATTTTAAAATGTTTTATATTTAACATTTGTGATAATTATTTCACAGTCTAAAATGAATGCACATTTTAAAAAATGCCCTACCCATTGCTACCCACCTGATAGGATTCATATTAATACTAGGAAGAAAATAATTCAAGTTCTTGCATCCAGGATACTTCTAGTAAGTCAGCATGGTCTACACAAATAATAAGGGATGGATGTTATAATGCTATCCTATACAAATTCTACTTTCCAAAGTTTTCAAGAAAATTCATGCCTTAAAAGTCTTTGCATATAGAAAGACCATTCAGATTATCAGTCCTGGGAAAAGGGAGTACATCATACTACTGTAACTAAAAACTTGCATCAAGTAAGTTACTTGATGTACCTTACATATAAAAAAGAGCGTTTTAAAAAGTAGAGTTCATATGTCATGGCAGTGTATCAAGTTCCTTCAACTCTGGTTACAAATGTTCATTTGAAACCTTATAGAGTTCTTTAAGCTTGTCAAACTTTGACCCCCACTCTTGGAGGCAATCATAATTTAGATCTTCATTGTCACAGATGGAGTCTAAGGAACTAAGGCTCCCTGCTAGAGAGCATTGCCCTTCTAAGCAGTAAAAATGAATAGTGTCAGCTGGAAGACTCTGTAGGTCATTGTCTGCATCCCAGATGATTTTAGAAACATATTCCTTGAAGTCTGGGATGCTGGTAACAGCTGATGATGGTTGTTTCTGATGTGCATGTTTTGGGAGTGAGTCTCTTTTTGGGCCAGTGGGTGTTCTGGAGTGTGGAGCAGCAGCCCGCAAGGAAAAGTGGGGAATGGTACGGAGAGGTTTCTTTAGTTCATCTATATCATAAGCATTCTGGAAAAAAAAAAAAGGAATGCAAATATCAGAAAGAAACAAGACAAAAGAAAACAGGTTTCAAAAAATGTTTTAAAACTCAATGCAACACAAAACTAGATTCTGAGTTTTCTACAAACTGAAAAGAGGGCTTAGTTCAGAGAGACAAGTTCAGATCATGCCAAGTCCCTTTGTGTAAAGTCCCTTCAGCTACAGCAAGGACACTGTGTCCAGAGCAGCTGCCTCAAAGGTGGCCACAGATGATCAGCATTGTGAAAGGTACAGATTGAGTTGAAATAGAAGCCTCCCACTCACAAGTACTTCAGGTTAGTTAAAAAAACCCAAGCCAATTGGATAAGGACAATAAGTTAAATAAAAGGTCTGGGAAAGGAAAGGACAAGACTGAAGCTGCATCATACCTGGTCACGTTCTCCACCTCCTTCTTCATTATAATTGAAGACATTTTCTCTAACATCCTCCCAGCTTTCACGTTCTTCAGGAATGTGGTAAATTCCTCCTTTCCGAAAACCTGAGCTTCCCCACTGACTCCACACTGTGTAGGAGACCAAGAGTGCTGGAAGGAATCAAAACATGTATTTGTTACAGGACATACGACAAAGTATGATGCATGATAAACTAGTAGTTATATGACTCCTGACATATTAAATCAACTCTTAATTTGACAACCAAATTCCTAGGTAAGAAATGCTTAATTGTTAATATATAAAAAACTTATACTCAGGAATGTAAAGAATCATCTATGTATATTACATCATAAACTTCATTAAAAGGGTATTTTACTTACCTAAAGGAATCCATTTAAATAGAAGGCATTTTGGCCAATCTCTGGCCTTTCACCAATCCTGAGTAAATAAGATACCCAAAGTAAGTAAAACACTGTTTTAATGAAGGTTACAAGTGTAATATAATCATGGAGTCTTTGCTATTCTGAGATGTGTATGCAGTTTTTCTTTAACAATTATGAGAAACAGTTTTATAGTGTTATAAATTTTTCAGCCAAAGTGCACCTGAAGCTGGACTCACTGTGCACATCTCTTTCTGCTCCACACTCCTAATGATGCTTGCTTGTTAAGATCATAAACTTTCTAGAGAAAGGTTTCTGTCTTCCTAATATGAGAAAGGCACGTGCTAGCTGTAGGTCCTACCTAATACAAATGTAAGGGCATAAAACAAGAGGGAGTTTCAGGCAGGTGTGGTGGCACACAGATTTGCACACATAGATGGAAAACTCTTACTTAGGAAGGACTGAAAATTCTTAGGAAGGATTGAAGTGATTCTGAAAGAGAGAAGCCCTAAATTTGCTTGAACTGGCTTAAAAGAAAATAAATTGTAACTATGTGCTGATGCCTGTCTTTTAGCATCCTCAAATTAATTCCCAACTGGTTATCTCCAGAAAAAGTGAAACACTGACTACAGCATTCAAGGGTAAAGCAGACTTGATTCAATGGAGCAAAGTACAAATTGAAAAGAAAAACAAAAAGTACTTGCTTTCCTACCTAGGAAGACAAGGAGACACATGCTGATTGCCAGAATAGAGCCAGAGCTCAGTCCAACAGGTCTTCCAGCCTTCACCTGGCTAATTTCACACCATCTTCCCTTGTAACCTTCGGGGCATTGGCAGATAGTTTTGTCTTGGGACTGGGTCACACAGGTACCCCCATTCCTGCAGGTCCAGTGTCCACAAGGGGATGAGGTACAGTGTCTGAGCCCTGTAAGGTTGTCAGTCACTTCTACTTTCCCAGCCGGACACCTGAACAACAAAAGCAGAAGACACCTTTTAGGCAGCCAAAGCACCTGGAGTTGTACACTGTTTTGTGCAAAGTTTGTTACTATTTCTTGAAAGCAAATAACTGAAGTATTTTCAATTTTTCAAATTCTGGCTCAATTGAAGGAATTCAAGTGGCTCCTTCTCCCAGTCCTGCATGTATGTATGTTTGGGTTTTTTTAACAGAAATGCCTGTATTTTTATTTGCGTATTTTAAGATATATTTTGAATATTTTCTTTAGAGTGGATCTTCTCTATGGAAATAACTGTATAGGATACTAGCTCGTGGGCTTTGGTTCTGACCCTGGACAGCCAATTTTAAAATCCAGTTTTGTGACAGTCTAATTTTAAAACTCCCATTGTTTCATACAACGTATGATTACTTTCAACTTTTTTACAGAAAATACATATTGTATATGCAATATATATTTTATACATATATGCACATGCAATATATATGTGCTATATCAAATATATATATAT